GATGCGCCAGTGGACCGCTGGCAGTGTCAAGACTAAGCCAAGCGAGAAGGAGAAGGCGTTTGACGACGGCGCCTCTGTCTGAGGTCGGTAATGGTAATGATATGATACCCCTTGGGGACGACTGCTTGGCTCGAAGCAGGACGTGTAGTCCGGATAATAGAGACCGAATTCTGAATAATCAATCCTGTCGCTACCGAACGCTGGAGATACCTTCCCAGCTTGTGATGCCTAGTTGGTCACTGCCATCCGATTTGATACCTTACGTCAGCTGGGCGAAGACCTTCAATATCCTGATCGTCACTGTATGGTCTTCTATCTCACTACTCTCTCTGTGGCTCTCTTACTTCAATCTTCGTTACTATCCTCATCCTCCGTTTTGTCTTCGTTACTCTCGTCCTCCTCGTCGGTCTCGTCGTCTTCCTCGTCATCCTTCCTATCGAAAGGGTCATCGGATCTTGTAAGTTGTTGATACAGCGCTGTCCAGAAGGTCACTGAGAGCACCTTCCGTCTTTACGACCGCCGGAGAGTGAAGCTGATAGTGCGGTCCGCAAGGATGCAGGACTGAAGGGGACGAGGCCTGATAGAACTTGACAACACTGTCTCCCACGCAAACACTACCCTGAGCATAGCCGATGACCTGGGAGTCCGCAATAAAGACTGTCTTGTTTATCGAAAGCCCTTGGATTGTTCTGTAAAATCCTGTCGCAGAACCCAGCAGACGGAAGACCGACCCCGGCCTCGCATCTTCAGGCGTCGAACGGATGATTTACTCTGGGCCATAATGTAGGGACAACACCATATCTATTGCTGCGTCAATGTCTGATTCGACGAAGGCGAGCACTTTGGGGTGTCTTTGATACTCGTTGAGTGCCTTCTGAAGCTTTTCCCTGGCTTGGGAGAAGATATATCGGCGGTTCTCCTCGCAACCTGGGAGTGTGGATTTGAAGAGAGTGTGCAGGTCCTTGAACCCTCTTTTGAAGCCCTCCTTGGGTTGGTTCGGGCTGTAAGTCAGCAATAACCAGCAAAATGCTAGAAGACGGGCTTCGACATGTTGAGCATTATCGCATTCGGCGTAGATGCGCCTGAAGAACCTGATCCGTTCTGCACCATGCCGCTTCAGTGTGAGTTCGTATTCAACGGATAGACGCTGCGCAGCCAAGATGTCCTTTTCAATAAGCGCCCTGTCGCGGTCGTCAAAAACCGTCTCGATCATACCAAGCGTTTGGCCTTGCAGAACAATGCCATCGTCGCGAGTGAACTTGATTTCGTAGCTCTGTCCATCCACCGGCCCTTCCCAGTGAGTTGTAGTCTCTCGGTCTGCAGAGTCCAGGGGAACCCCTCCTAGCTCGATCAAAACATCGTCGAACCATCTATAGTCGTCGCTCCAGTCAGGAACCCAAGATGGCAGACCACTCTGGCGGTTTCCACTCCACACATTATCCAGCGGCCATAGGGTGTTCTCGTGTCGTATGATAGCCTTCGTCGCTTCCGTGTATATCTTGGCCACTGATTGTTCATAATCGGGATTTGGGAATGGCTGTCCGAGTCTCTGGGAAATGCCGTAGAGCCCGAAGATCTTGTCTTTTGAGTTGGTGGCATGCCGAATTCTGGCATGTTGTACAAGGCTCGACAATTTCCCCTCCTCATCTCCCCCAGCTAGCTCGGACTGGCTCCTTTGGACTGTTTGGCCGCTGGTGCTGCCAGAAATATCTTGAAAATCCGAATATAAGTAGAAGCAATTCACAAAATTCCGCACCCCCTTGCTAGACAGGGAGAAGGTAGCCTCCATGAGCTCCAAAGCTTGGCAGAAGATATCCCAGGCAATTACCTGTTCCCCGCAAAGGATGCTAGCATGGGTAGCAAGAAGAAGCTCTTGGAGAGTCCACATTCTCTCGAACCAGGGCCGTCCAAGAACGTCCTCAATTATCTCGCGAATCGTTTGAGCATCTGATGTCCCCCATCTAGTATCTGAGATAATACGAGCGTGCATTGTTCTGGAATGAAGAGGATAGATCATGGGGCAAGAAATCAACTTGAACTGACCACATCGGTTCATGAACTTGGTACAAAACTCGGTTCGAAAGTCTTCCCAAGAATCGTCTCGCAGCAGATACAAACGTTTCAAATGAAGAAAGAATGCATCCGTTTTAGCGTCGCCATTTCCCAACCAGACAAGGACGTCTTTAGCGACTTGGTAGATATCGCCCATCATCGCAACCTGATAATTACGCTCCTGGACTCCACCGGGAGTCTGGTCAATGCAAATGCTATCGACCCATAGGATGCGGTCCTCGGATGCTCTCCTCAAATGCCTTAGTGCCGCACCGCAGTTGGCGGTGATGGGCAAGATCAACGCCCCGAGCTGGAGATAATGTGACGAGCTCGGTGGGCCCCATACGTACGACAAGGCTTCAAAGTGATGTGAAGCTTCTATCACGGACTGTCGAGACATCTGAATGCCACATTCAATCAGCGAACCGGAGAGAACTTCACCGGTTTTATGTGCGGGGTGGAGGACTAGGAGCCTGGTCCGTCGAGAGCCACTTAGTTGGGTGTGTTGATGTGACATTATGAGACATGCAAGTAAATTCCAATGGTCTCATTAGCGAAGATCTTGGTGTCTCGAGAAAGAAACACCGGAGATGGCGCAAAATAAGAGAGAGAAACCACGCGCAGTTTCAAAATCTAGAATCCCACTTTTTGAGGGGTGCCGCAGAACTCACTGGCTGCACTTCCAGCCTGCTCACCTTACCTACCTGTCAGCCGCAGGTAAGCCCATCAAGCTACAGCATAGCCTCTCATTCAAGCCTGATACGCCTTCGGGTCTCTGATTGCCTTAGAACGCGTATTATCAGCAGCTTTTCCGGGACTGCCCATCCCCCCAAAAGCATTTTCCAATAATAGGAAATCACCACAATCGTATGCATCTAGAACACGGCTTTTTGACACTTTTATTAAGACTGATATAGCGAAAGTCCTGAAATACTCTTTGGTATATATGTGAAGCAAAAACTTCCTTTAATGCTGTAAATAATCTATCTAACTCCAACGTCTTTAGTGAACACCCACAAGGAACGCTGTGGATATAGCATGATTTCCATTATATAAAGTACGGAGGGCTAAAGTTAAGATTACAGATTTATTTTATCAATTATGTCAACAATATCAGTTAGAATGCCCACGACATTTCACTAGGAGCTTTATTAGCTGGACAATGTCCCCTATACCTCGAACAGTGGTGAACTTAACAGTTCTAAAAGGATGAAAGTAGTAGAAGAAACGATAGGAATAGCGAACGAAGATAAACTACGACGATGGAAGACTATGGACGATGACAACGATAACAACGACAACGTAAGCGACCATATAAGCTGTACTAAGGAAATGTAGGGGGTCTAGTAAGACAGACGGATTACACACGTGTGTATGAACACTGCCCAGCTAGCAAAACTCTTGACTAACAATCGTCCCCCGCGCGAACGATTGGGTCCCCAGCGAAGTAGTGGCCGTTATTTTCAAGAGAGATGAGCCGAAACTCGGTCCATACTCATGTTGCTATTCTGTTGCTCCATTCAAATTTCTACGGCGTTTGAGGGTGAACTTAATTCGGTAAGGTTTCCAGTAGCAAATCTTCCCCTGCCTGTTATCTCGCACCTTTCACATGCCATCTTGTCAAGATGATGCCCGTCCAACAGACCTAGGTTTACTTGACGGAAACTCTCTATAAGGTATCAGTAGTAGGATGTATAAGTAGGTTTCTGCTTTCTGTAACTTTTCAGGTGATGATTCTCCCTTCTTCTCTTGGACGACTCATATCTGGCACAATACAACGTCTCCTTACAATAAGGAATCTTTCGTACCGTCTCTGAGTTACGCTTGCCTTCTGATCAATGAACGACGATGCATATGAACAGCTGCTAGATGAGGCAGAGGCAGATGGATTACTGAGAGTCATACACGTGGCCCATCAGCCCTTCAACTCAAAGAGCTGAAAATCCATCCCCGTCGGACTGGCCATCGTTCTCGCTAGTGACCCTGTTCTTGAGAGCGGCAAAAATGCGACTTGGATAGCCCGACTCGTCGTAAAAACCGGGAATATCGTCGGTCTGATGAAGGGCGGATTTCATTGGTCCCCCAAAAACGTTCACTCAGAGGCTTCGCACTTCGACATGAAAGTCAACGACCCCGAATTGTCACAGTACAAGCGGAAACTTTCACGCACGTTTTATCTATCCGACACCCGGATTCCAGTTTCCTGGACAGCGAAACTTGAAATTGCTGCCAATGAGCAAAGCGACCTAGCAAGATTCAAGATAAATGATTTGGAACAAGACCAAATTGAGAAAGCTGAGGCCTGGAACACCAACGGCCAGCTCATCTACCACTACCGTCGGCATGATCAGAACAACAATTTTAATGCTATCTATGATGACTTGCCACTTGAGGGCTAGTGGCCGTGGCCAAAGCAGAATGAACAAGCCGTTGGAATTCGACGCACCAGGCAAGTTGGCAAATCTGTCGATGCTCCCAAGGTCAAAAGAGGCATATCTAAGTCGATCGAGACGATGTATATTTAAGGAGAAATATTGCTATCCGGGCGTTGTTAGTTAGCTACCCGGGCAGCGTCCACTACACACACACGGGCAATCTATGTATTCTACTGAGACCCTCTTATGGCCCGTCCTACACCGGCTGAATTTACTGTCGTCGTCTCTATTGTTATCGTCGTCGCTATCGCTATCGTCGTCATCGTCGCCGCCGTTGCCGCTGTTGTCGCCGTCGTCCATCGCCGTCGTCCATCGCCGTCGCCCATCACCGTCGTCCATCACCGTCGTCCATCACCGTCGTCTTCTATCGCCAGATCGAAAAGCTAGCTGCGTTACGAATAGAGTCAAAGGGGACATTGCCCGGATACCCAACGAAGACTACCCGGTTAGCAAAACTCTCAACGGGATGTCATCAAAGAAAAATAATAGTGGTATTTGTGGAGTTAGCATCAATCAAGTACTTATTTGGAAACAAGAAAGAGTACTGGCCAAGCCATTGCTTAGTGCCATGGAGTAGAATCCTTTACATTTCACCTCGGGAGTGGATTCGTCGCTGGCAAGAAACAGTTCGACACCTATCAATAACTTGAAACATGCCCGAAGCCAGAACGGAAGACAACAGGAAGCAGGAGGACGATGAAAGCTAGAGGTAACGACGATAAGACGAATATTGGAAAAGGCAGGAGTGAATGTAACGACTTGGGCCAGATGACACAGCAAGAAGCTGAGAATCACGACGGCGATAGCGAGAGGCACGCCGACCCCAACCCCAATGCCAGCTGCGGCACCCGCAGAGATTCCATTGTTTCGTTCGGTTCGCGCTGATGAAGATGGAGTACTAGAGCTCGTGGCTGTTGCTCTAATTCCAAGATCCGACTCCACGGCAGTATTCAACATGATTTTGCCAGGCTGCTCGATGGTAAAGTTCGCCTGAAGGCATTCATTCGGCTTGTTACACGCGTAAACCGCGGGGAATCCACACCCCCAAAGACCATTATGTCTGTCGGGCTCTGTGACATTCGTAACCTGTCAGAAAATAGTCCAGATATCATTGCACTAACGACCTGCCATACCTGCGCCGGAAATCTCAGATCTGTCGCAGTATTTTGGACATCCTTCTGCCCCAAACTTTGAGTCGGTGCAAGCGCCACGGTACAGGGTGTCATCGCTTGGGTCCATGCAAAGGCCATTTGTGAGGCAATAATGGTTATCGAAGCAGCAGGCTGCCGTTGCTTTGCCTTGAGGTGTAGGACACGGCTTCACTACGGTGTTGGCGATACCGTTAGGCCAGTAGCATGTGGTAGTTTGGCCGGCTATTTTGGTGGCCAAGCTGAGGACACTGAGAATCTTGCATAGTTGCATCGTGCTAAGTCAGGAGAAAAGTTTAGACAAAAGAACAGGCGACTGCGACCCTGCGTGAAACGAGGCCGGGTGCAACAAGTCTTAATTAATAGTACACTGCACTGCTCTTCTCAGCCTGATTGGGTCATGTGCGTAACTCTACATAGCTCGGAAAGATGGGAAGCCCCATGCAGTCGGAAAGTTGTCTTTTCTGCATGGGTCGCACGAATCAAATCTTCAGAAAACGGCACGAAAACAGTGATTCCGATGGCTCGAAGGCTGCGGCGTTGGCCATGATTTCATATAACGAAGGATTCGAGGCGGCATGCAGCTTTACAGCATATGCTAGAGGCCATCCTAAAATGCGGGACCTTTGCCAACACATCAGGCTGCGAGTCTCTAAGGCAATAGATCTTCACAATATTAGCGGTATGCTGACAATTGCGTGTGGACTTCATGTAGCCAAGCAGCCGAAAGCCCCACACCGGTGACTTTCGGAAAGCCATATTGGGTTGGATCGACTCTCACGAGCAGTACACAAGGCCCAATTAGTAGATGATTGCAGAGAGCGCGTAAAATTACCATGGAAAGAGACGACCAGCAGGCTGGGGGGCTTTTTGACCAATCCTCCTCAATGTTATCTGGAATTAAAGTTGATTAACACAATCTCTATCAACATCGCGGTGAGTTCGATGACGCCAATTGACTGTCGCTTTCACAGGTATGTGTTATGGGTGATTGAATTGCGTACCAAGGTTTGTCGATGCTCAAACCAAGTCATTCACCTTCAATATAACGGCCCAACCAACGCCCATTAAGCTGAGCGCGGTGAAACCAGCCGGGCTCATTTCACCGTAGAGGCCCACGTGGCACCTGCCAACCTTCAATGCTAATATCATGTACGGTCGCGGCTCCCAAAACCATGACCCTATCAGTCCAAGTCCAAACTTCAGCTTTCTACCCACCTCGCCGATTATTTGGGATACAGGCAGATTGCTGCCCAGCAATGATCGTTAGCCACGTTCGCTTTGCGACACTGCTGGAGAGAGACCACACGAACTGATTTTTCCCGGGACGGGATTCCGACTGTGCGAGGAGCGCTTGGTCCTGGGCTTGTCCCGCTGTTGGACTGGGAACGGTGGCAGCGGCTGTGGCCGCATGCACGGCTTGGTTGGCTGTGGGAGAGTTGTGGCTGCGAGGCAGCCGGTAGTTAGTTTCTCTAATGCTTGACGTTAGCAGAGACAAGGAATGGCAAGAGTGAAGTACGACAGCGACGGGAACAGTGATCGGGACAGAGACGGCGAGCGACGGAGACAGAGACGGGAATGACGCGCTAGGTAGCGACCATGAGGGCAATTCATAGTGATTAGAAAATTTGCGCTCGAGATAACTCAAGCTGACCACTTGCAAATGCAGTGATAGCAGTGATTGCCACTGCAAGAGAGGATTGGGATCGGAGAGGAAGGACATAAAGATGGAACACTTACGAGGACATTTTGGTGGTTGCGACAGTGGGTTGACGATGTTGATTGATCTGATGAGCCAAAATGAGCCTCAAGGGCACTGCGGAGGCTTTTCAACATGTTTTTGTTGCTACTGGAGGTAGCCCTATCCACCGCAGGATTAGAGTTTGAAAGCCACCACCCTCAAGGTAAGTTCTGCGACATGAAGGCCAGCTGAAAGTAGGACATCCTCGTGCCCGTTTCGCCATCTTAGATCGAATTATCCTCACGTGTGAGAAAACCACGATGGCAGAGTCCCTCAGTCCGATGCCAAAGTTTTGCGAAGCAGTAGGAGTAACTTAATAGATATCCTACTACTCTTTTTTAAGTAGTAATTTTACTTTTGTTGAAGCCCCAAAAGTTTCTTGCATCAGGTATGTCGCTTGCTGGCCGCTAAGTCTTCGTGATGTGCGCAACAACAACATAGAGGCCGAGCATCACGTCATGCTTGCCGCCGACACCCGGCCCCACTATCGGATCCGGGTTGAGATGGAACGGGCCGAAGGAACGGGGGTGAATCGGCGAATGAATTAGATAAGCGAGGTGATGTCTCGGTCCTAGTGTTTCCTGGAGGTCCCCATTAAAAAAACTGCTGATGTAATCCGACATTGGAAGCGAGCGGTCGAAGGTTCCCCTGGTCGCGAGCCAAAAAGTAGCTTGTCCGTAGCGTACCGGCTGCCCTGTGGCTGGCACGATGGTGGTTTATTTTTGTCGCCTTTGCGGTCTGTGAATTGCGCTGTAATACCGCTAGAGGGACTTTAGCTACGCCGCACCAACAATGCAAGGCCGGGACCTGCGGCGGGAGTGTTGTTTGTTCCGTCATCGACAGAGGGATAAACAAGCAAACGGTCATGTCCTGATGTGCTGCTCCTATCCTAACGTATTGAGTTACGAAATTTGGTCAGGTGAGAAAGGGGTCGAATAGGAGAGGCAGCAATGCAATTGCCCGTTGATGCCCATAGCATCAGGCGACAGAAAGTGCCCAGAGCAGGAGCAGGGTCGACATTTTGGCCTGCCCGCCGACACGGAGCTGGGCAGTACGTACCGGCGCAACGGGGAGGAATGGAGCGAGCTCCCCTCTTTCTCTGCCTGACTTGGCCCAATGAGATGCCAGGGTTGGCAAGCTTCGTCGGGTACGTACCGGTGCATGGCAGCGCAGCGCACCGCGCACCGTCCTTTCTTTCTTTTTTTGCGGGGGTAAAATTTGTGACGCAGCCCCGATTTTTTGTCATCATCGGATTGTCCCAACTCTTTTTTTTTTTTTTTTTTTTTCTTCGTGAGAGCAGGAGCAGTAGGGAGCAAGTGCCCAAGTCCGGGTGGAAGGAGCAAGAAGCAAGAAGCACCTGCATCTTCTGCCTGCGTGGGAAAGGAGAAAATGGTTGGCGGCAGGAACAGTTGCCTAGGACCTTGCCTTCCCTAAACTACCTATTGCATCAGAGTCACCAGAAGCAATCAAACAGACAAACGGAAGACAGGCAGGTGCGTGCCTGTGACATAATTGCCTCCCCCGGCGCTTCCATCTCCATCTCCATCTCCATCTCCATCTCCAGTTCTCCCTTCACCGCGTCCACGGCCACGTCCACGTCCACATCCACGTCTGGGACCCTGTACCTTTTCTTCTCTCCACTTCTTGAACTTTCCCCTCCTCTGGAACCTCTCCTTTACGCAGTCCACGTCGCCAGGCGAGGTACCTTACAGACGCACCTCCATCACCGGTCACCTCGCAGCAGCATCGTCACCTGCCACCCTCTCCCCCTTTACCCCTTTCCCTCGAGGCCGTTTGTTCGTCTCTCCTTTTTCTGCTTTGCATCTTGCATCGTCCAGGCTACCAGCAGCGCGCATTGGCACCCACGGGATCGTCTTCCTAACATGCGCACCCCCTGCTGTACATAGGCCTTTCTGCACGAGAAGAGTCACGACCTTACACTAAGCTGCCTACACACACTACCTCACTGCAGATACCTGCACTAAAGCTGAGGTAGCTTGGTTGCCCCGACTGAGGCCCGGACCTACAACTTGCGCTTTGCGACTTCACTACACCGGGTCTTCTACTACCTTGCTTCTCTCGCCAGCATCAGCCGACGTTGCGGTCCTTCTTCTAGAAATACCCACCTGCTGAGTGTCCACCGGTAGATATCAGCTGCGATTCATCTGAGGTGCTGCTGCTATCGCCGACAACGCTCGCGGACCGACCTGACGCACCCACCCCCCGGCTCCTCCTCTGTCGTCCTTGTCGTCCGCCCTCGTCCTGGCACTAGCCCCCCCAGTCGCACCTGCCCAAGAAAAAAAAAAAGGATCCAGTCACCACTTCTGCGACTTGGACGTGGGCTCCCAACGCCGCTTCCTCAACACCACCACCACCTCCGCCTTGTCGTCAACCATGGCTCCCAACGTCAACACGAAGGCGAGGAACGGAGTCGGTGTCGGTGTCGTCGCCAACGGCAAGCCTCTCCGTCGCGTCGTGCCTGCAATTCCCCTCACCTACGAGCGCCGCCTCAAGGCCAATGCTGCTGCAAAGCATGCCGCCGCCCAAGCCCACGCCGCCTCCGTCCCAGTCGTATCCCTTCCTCGGCCCGCCGCCACCACCAACGGTTCTTCCTTGAAAATTCAGAACGACGTCGACGACTCTGCGCCACCGACTCCCAAAACCCTCGAGCCTGCCATCGCCGAGAAGACGGACAAGGACGACAACGACGCCGCCGCCGAGGACGACAACGACGAGAAGCCTGCCGAAGACCAAGCAGTAAAGGATCGCGACGGTATGTGTAAACTTCGCTCCAGCTACAACTCTCAAGGTGGATGCTAATAATTGTCTACCAGGTACCCAACAGACTTCGATCACTGCCCCTGCTGCCGCCGTCCCCGACGTGTCCGAAGCGACTGACAAGCCCCCTGAACGAGACGCGCCCCCGACTGTCATGGAATCTGCGCCAGGTATGTTGCTTGCTGGCCGCTACGCATGCCCGGACTCTCCCTCGTACTTTGCGGACGACCACCCGGCAGCTTCGCCGGCCTCTGGTCAGTCTGCTTGGTTGGGTGAGAATTCAAGGCAAAGTCTTCTGGGGCAGCAAACAAATTACTCACACCTTGCAGAGAAACACCAGCTTCCTCCGACTTTCCGACCCCCTCCTGTCATCTCTCCTTCGCGCTACAACATGCCTCCCGGCGCGCCCAACGGAGCTCGCCCTGCGCCAGTCGTCCTCAATGGCACTTCTCACCGAGGCCCTCGATCTGTCCACAACGGCCCCCCGCACATGCATGGTCCGCGCCCAAGCAACGGCAGCCTGGTGCAGTTCGGCGGATTTGGTTCCAACTCCTCATCTCCCGCCCCTCCTCACTCTGGCGGCTTCATGCCTCCTTCCGGCGCGCCCCTTCAGGACGGACGCCAGTTCCACAACCATGCTGCGGTGGCTGCCAACGGCTACCCTCCTCAAATGCCTTATGGCACCGAGTTTGTTCCTGGAACCGCCGTAGACCAGTTTGGCAGACCAATTCCAGGTCCTCCTGGCATGGACCAATACCACCCGTACGTCAATGGCTACGGACCGTCCACCCCTCACAGCTTCCAGGGATCCCACTCGTCGGCTCAGGCGGAGGACGTCGGTGCCTACAACCACTACCCCGCGCCTGGCATCCCCAACGGTACTTCCCACCTCGATGACGCTCGCCCTCACCCTCCCCAGGCCGGAGGTTTCGGTGTACCACCCCAGCGGATGATGCCTGGTCCTATCCCGCCCCCGCACATGATGCATCCCGGGCACGACGCCCAGGCATTGGATGGCCTTACCGCTTACCTGCGGTCACAGTTCCGTGATACCACATTCGCTGACTGTACCCTGGAGCTCCGATATCTGGATGACCGTTATCCTCCCGTCCGAATTCCCGGCCACCGCCTAGTGCTTGCCAGAAGTCAGGTCATCAAGAACATCCTCGAGTCTGAGAGCTTCGAATCTAGCCCGCCGGGTGCTAACCGCATGATTCTTCTCCCTTCCGACGACAAATACCTTCGCTCCGATGCTTTTTGGATGGCAGTTCAGCATCTTTATGCCTACCCCCTGCTTGGCCTCCCGGACCCCAGTGCCAACGGCGGTCTTGGCATGGCCGGTACGGCCGACGACCGGTTCGAATTCGCCCTTGGTTACGCCGCAGCTGGTCACGCGTTGGGTTGGCACCCAATTGTTGTCCGTGGCATGGAGATTGCCTCTCACTCCCTCGGCTGGTCCACCATTGAGCGAGCCATCGCATTCGCCCTGGGTGATGTAGCGGGCCGTGCCTCAGCCGACCGCCACACCCAGTTCGTCTACGGTGACGCAGTCCAGATTTTGATGAACGGGATTATCAACTTCCTCGTCAACAACTTCCCGACAGACTTCACTCTGGACACGTCTGTAGCCGATCCTGAGCGCTACCCTCGCATCCCGTCTGTCCCTGCCATGCCGCCCATCCGTGAAGGCACCCCGACCATCGCCCACGGAACTTCGGGTAAGGACCGTCGTTCACGCCCAATGCACATCCAGTTCGGCGATCTGGCGTTGAACCATGACGGTTCTAAGGTGTCCGAGCCCTCACCGTTGCCGCCCCAGCAGCGAAACATTCAGTCCATCCTGTCAACCATCCTCATCAATCTGCCCTTCGCATTCTTGAAGCCGACTCTTGAATCGAGTGGCTTCGGCAACGTCAACGGATGGGCCAATGTCGAAGCGCGCCACCAAATCATGCTGGACGTTGTCAACGAGCGTGAGGCCAGAAGACACCGAGCAGTTGAGGCCGTAAGAGCCGGCGTCATTCCGGACGCCGAGTCAATCTTCTACGGTCTCCAGAGCGTGGAGCCCCGCGTGGCTGAGGAGTGGAACGGGCTCGGCTGGCGGGAAGAAGTGGTGTCGTACGTCAATGGCGACGCGCCGTCCCTCGGCCGGCAGTGGGTTCCGCTGATGGTTCAGAATGGCAGCGGCCATGTGGAGAACACGG